CATGTCCTGAGCTGGCCGATGCAGCATGGAGGCTTCAGTCTCCATGCTCCGCAGTGCGGTACCCACCACTGACACGCATGCCAAGCAGTCACGGGGTGCCTATGCATCTCTGACATTACCTAGGAAAGCAGGATTATAATCGTATCAAATACGCTTAACAGCACGATGTAAACACAAAGTTGAGAGCATGGATGGCAACAAAAAACAAAACAAAAGATCCCATACAGAGCAAACTAAGCACAGGTTCACACTGAAACCCTGCTAATATACAACTAGTGTGACAGCATTATGAGGAAATGGATTTTTCTGCATCTTCACTACACTATCAGACTAAGCCTATAGGCATTTTCAGCAGGCATGACAGCAGGAAGACAAGTAGGCACTTGTTAAAGTCTTCCCCACAGCAGATGTATGAGTTGAAGTCTCAAGTTCATATTTTAGTATACAGAAAGGAGAAAGCTGCATCTACAGGTGGCTTGGTTGTCTGATGCATTCTGGTCCCAGTACCAGGAGTTGTTTCCTCTGGCTAACAACAGACTGTATGAGCGGAGGGGGTCTAACTCCACCTCCCATAGAGTCACAGTCATGTCAAATTAAAAATCCATTAGACTAAGAAGTGAAAAAAGGTTACTTGAACAGCTGTATCCCACTTGTGTGAACCATATGGTCAGACAACATGCATTATAAGTAAATAACTATATGGTTTAAATAAAGAAGTGCATTCACTGAAATATGAGACACCAGCAATAAACAAGCACTGCAGCTCAGGTACGAAATTCAAAACAGGACTCGGGGTGACCTCCCACACACCCTCCTTGCCTTCCTTTCAGTGAAAGGCAAATGAGCCCAAAAAAGATGACACTTACTTGCTGGCAAACCCAACTAGTAAGGCACAGACTGAATGGACAGCAGGAGAAAAGTCTCCAAGATTCAGCTCTGGCTCTCAGTTCAAACCGTATGTGCAGATATTACAGAACAGGTAGAAGCCACACTGTCACCCGACTCTCCTAAACAATAAGTGAACACATCTAACCAGTCACCTTCTGCAAGCTCAAAGTTTCCTTAATAAGGGAAATTAATAAGCTAATGCTAAAAATCATTGTTGCACTTCTATCAGAGATAAATATTCGTATGGCTCTCTTTTCTCTGGTGATCTTCCTGCAAGCACTCATGAGGTCAACAATAACACAGAATATTAAACCGTCATCAGCTTGGAAATCCCTCCATCAACAGAAGCCACAAAGAGTCTAGATTGCCCTAGGGGAGAAAAAGAAGGAAAAAAAAAGTATCCAAGCCAACGCAGCCTTTCAACAGAATAGTCAAAGCACAAAAGTGGCATATGAGTAAGTAACTAAAAACAAATGAAAGAAGAAATCAGACCCCTCAAAAATAGCAGGATTAATCTGGTACATTCAGGAGCAGAATTATTTCAGAGCCCCATTCCATCTGTCCCCTTGCTTTATCAGGAGGTCCTATGCACGCCGTTTGCTGCCTGGCCTGAATTACCCTTCTCCTTCATGACTCTAAGGGGCTCAGCTGGCCTGCTGCTGGAAATACCCTAATCCGGTGTCTTCTGTAAACTGAGACCACTACTCACTGTGGGCAGAAACAGTAAAAGAAACAACTTGTTGCTGTTTTCGAACTGCTTAGGGATTATATAACAACAAGTACTGCTTGAAATACAGCAACGGTAATACAGAAAGACACATGCATTACCCAAAGTATTTCAGGAATAGTACAGATAGTGCTCCTCTCTGCCTGCCATGATGGGCTGATAGCATTCCAGTTTGAGACAGATGAAAGACATCAATATCCAGGGGAAAGTCAGGCATTTTTTGAGTTATCTAACTGTATTTAACTAAAAAACACAGGTAACACACAGAATTTCTTAAGATTCTATCCATTCACTTTTCAGCACGCAAATAACTCAAGCGACTTAAAAAAACCCCAATGCTTTGGTAATACAGGAAAACAAGTCTTTCTAATTTTTGTTATATCCTGTGTATTTAGAAAGGAGAAGAGCAGAGATACAGCAATCACACTACTATACTATTCTATTCACATTTGGAACATGACAAATGTAATTGAAACTCAGGGATTGCATTTAAGGCACTTTTCAAAGTTCAGATCTGCAGTATACGTGCTAGTTAAGGACTTGCAGAAAAGATAGCTCCAGTTTAAAGGAAGCAGAAAACACCATCATACAGATTGCACTACGCTGTTTTAATTACTCAGTCACTGTGATTTACTCCAGCACCTTTCTCCAGGTTCGCCATTAGCTCCACCATGTTCCCCTCAAGCCTGAAGTCTTCTCACTGTATCTAACCTATACTATGCTACAACTGAATGTGACAGAAGCTGGCTGTACAGAAGCAACCCTTCCCTTGTTTCACATGGGCCTATATATTTCTCCATATTCTCACCTTTCTCCTACATACTGTGGTGACAGTTACTTAATTCAGCTAACTCCGTATTGTTGTCCATTAAACAGAAACCAGATGAAGGAGTTGGGATTGCCTCCTGCTTCAGAACACTCGTTTTCAAAGGTGATGATTTCACAAAGAGTAGTTTTACAATTATTTAATGCTTCACTAAACTTCTTTTTGGTAAAAAAACCCACAGTGAGTCCTTGTTGTGGTCACAGAGGGCTCAGTGGCATGAGCTGGAGCTGCTGAGAGCCCCTCAGGTCCTTGCTTGGAGGAGCAGGCAGGGCTTGCCCCATTCCCAAGGCAGCTCCACAACACAAAGCCTTAGAAACACTTTGCAGAACTGGGGCTGGCAGGAGGCAAAGCTCTGCTGCCTGACATGCAGCTTTCTTACAGCTTTTAGGCAAATATAAATACAAATATAGACATACAGAGATACTTATATCTGAGAGCAAAGCTCAGAGTGGAGGCTCAGAGAGGCGAAGGTCCAGAGAGTGGAGAGACTCACACAGTGGAGAGGTTCATAAGATTACAAAGAACCAGGCCAAAAGGAAGGGAGAGGCACGAAGAATGGTGGCCCACAGTGCGGGAGGCCCAGTGAAAGGGGAGAGACACAGTGGAAGACCAACGAGTGTGTGTAGGAGGCACAACGGGGAGAGGAGGAGGGAGGCAGAGCCCAAAAAATAATAGTACACCTAAAAGCATGGGAAGCCAATGACAAAGTGGGAGGCTTACATAGTGGAGGCTTGCAGAGGGTCAGGGTGGCCGAAAATTGTTGAAGGCCCACCAGAAAGCTGGGAGATGCAAAGACTCAAAGCCCACAGAGGCTGAGAACAAGAGTCAATGAAGCCCAGAGAGTGGAAAGCTCATACAGTGGGGCCCCCAAGCAAATGAGCCTCCAAAAAAAGGTGAGGCCTGCATAGAAGTGAGAGTTCCAGAAAATCCCAGCCCATGGAGAGGGAGGCCCAGAGAGTCAGGGAGACCAAGTGAGGGTGAGACAGAAAGGGAGGGAGGCTCACACAGGGAGGCCTGAAGAAGTGGGAAGCTCAGAGGATAAGGTCCCATGGAGGTGGAGACCTAGAAGGTCAGGGAGGCCCAGAGGAGGGTCAAGGAGGCCAAACAGAGTGGGATGCCCAGGGAACCCCAGTCCATGAAGGCTCAGAGAGAGTAGACTCAGTGCAAGGTGGAGGCCCACACAGAGAAGGAGGAGGTGCAACCCACACACTGAGGGTCCAGGAAAAGGGAGGCCCCCAGCAAGTGTGTGTGCATGTATGTATGAACCTAAACACACAAGTGTGTATAGATATGCACGCATACTGCTATTTCTTGAACTTCAGCAAAATACAGCAACAATAAAGGCAAGAAAATCTTTTTCGCCCACTCAGCTTAAAAGCAACAGCTCAGCTTTTTCTGAGGGTCATGGAGTCAGCACAGCTGCTAGAGATATCCCTTGTTTTCCCTCTTGTAAGGATCCTCTGCACTGCTTGGTCACTGAATGCACCTCTCCAAAAACACGTGGCTAAGGCTGCCCCCTTGACCCAGGACATCCCCCTCAGCAACCACCCTGCACGTTTCTCTTGGATGTCAGTATCTATCAGGGTATCTTTGGTGGGCTTTTTTGAATGCAGGTACTTATTTCAGCAATCAGTTAAGTTAAAAGGAGCTTAATTTTCATAACTATCCCTAATGAAAGATGGTGATTGGTATTAACAGTTTAAAAAAAACCCAGATTTATCCAAATCCTTGAAAAAACAGATAAAAAACTACAAAAAGACAGGATTTTCTTAAGTATTCTTACGCTATATTCCTTTTCACCACACCACACCATACAATTTAAACATACTTTCACTCTATACATGGAAATAACAGGAAATACATACAGCACAACATTTGAAAACAACTCAGCTATTTACACTGGATTTCCGAGTGGCTTTTGGACTTTCTCTTCCTATCTTTTGTGACTCTCCATAAAGCACTTCATCTTGGATGTTTAATGTTGTTCTATTGTTTCCCAAATAAACACAAAAGAAACCAGAAGCAGCCAGAATCTAATTATGGCCTAATTCACTGTTCACATAATATGTGAAACTGCCTGTCTACACAGAACTATACAAAGCAAATAAAATTGAAAATAACATTAAACAGAGGTATTTTTTTTTTCATCTCTTTCAGGTATTATTATCTATTGTGTAGCTTGCATCCAGTGTAGAGCAGAAAGGGAAAATAATGAACACATAAGTATACAGAGCAGAATGTGCTATGTTGAGTATTCTAGTGGTGGCAAATATATCCCCCTGATGCCTAATAAAACTAAATGTCTTGTATAATTCAATTAAATTGTAGATGCTTGCATACTGAATTTGTTCTGCTTGGTGCCCATCACCTTGCTGCTGGTACATGTGCGATTTAGCCATTTCACCCCCATTCTTTACCCTCCTCAGCCACAAATCCTTCAGATACTGAGCAACAAGAACATCTTGTAATCAGCCGATCACACCGTCATCCCTCATCACTGGTTCAAGGTGCATTTGCACAAATCGACTTGTTTCTAACAGATGACTATCAAGGTCTTACCTTTGCAGGTGAAGCATTTGATGTGGAAGTGTCTGGCCTGAACACGGAGTACTTCACCTTTACATGGCTCCCCACACTTATGGCAGTGGATGACTGGCTTTTCAGAGGGGTGGTGAGGCTCCTGAGGATGGGCCACTGTAAAACAAAAAATATGATTTAAACTCAAACAAAAAAGATATTTTCTCCTGTACATAAATCTGTGTTCTGAGACACTTTCATTACGATACAAACGTATCTGTTCACACTTTATTTTCATTTAAAAAAGTCACCACTTTTTTTTTAAATCTAGCCTTTTGACAGTTTAAGCCGCTCACATCCACTGCGACCTCTTTCCACTGAGGCTGCCATGGAAAGATGAGGGAAAATTCCCTCCACAGTTTCAGTGCCACAAAGTGTTTCAGACTGCCCAAGCTTTTCTTTCCAAGAACATGAGTGTGTGTAAACCATTCAATGAGCATGCAAGGCAACAAGGACTGGGCTATTTTAATCCAAGAAAGAATATAACCCAAGCAACAAGAATGAAAGGAAAGCAATTCCAAATAATGTTTTGGGAAACCAGATCAACCAGGCAATCTGAATTTGCATGCAAATAACTATATTAAATATAAGCTACAAACATCTCCATTTTGCTACCGCACGCATCTAAAACAGGGAAAACATCTGATGAGAAAAGAAGCAAATATTATTTGTTTCTACTCCCATTAATTCTAGCACAAATCACTCTCTGCATGCAAATTACAGATATTATGAGTAGACAGAAATGACCAACATCTGCAATATAGTCAAAGGGACAAAATTCCAGGTAGTGGCAATCGGTCAGCTATCCTGCAGAGCTTCGACAGGAACAGGAAAGTTTTGTGTCAGCTTTATTGCGTACTTCATTGTTGTAATAAAAGTTTTACTGCTTCACATTTGGCTTCCATAAAAAAATGTTTAACTTACTCTTCAGATGTGTCTTGTGGCAGCTTGGGGCCCCAACAGAAATGCATGGGTGTAAGCTAGCGCAAGATTGAGTCTCATCTGTAATGTTTCAAGTGGAAAGTATTACCCAGAATGTTCCCAAACAAAATTACGTTCCTTCAGATCTCCCTCCCACATCCCACTCTAACAGCAGAAAGCTGTCCTCCTTGTAATATTGTTCTCAAATTAGTGATGCTCATCAGAATATTTCAGAGAAAACATACATCTCTACCCACGCCTCTGACTTTATACCATTCCCGTCCTGCTTTACTGGCTTGCAAAGGACTGAGTGCTGATACACCTACATCACTCTCACTGGGAATCATCTGCATTGCTTTATCTCGGCATTTTCTGGAGCTCTTTTACTTTCCTGATCAATTCCTGACATCTCCTCAGCCAGGATTAGGCTTTTTTCAGTTACTGCTTATGCAGCAACAGAACAGATACCTTGTTTCTATTTACTGAACCCATTTCCTCCTCCCCCTTCAATTAACATCTAGGGGAAAAGCCCCACCATTTCATGGCATTCTTCGATATTGCTCTCCTCGACTCACCTTAGTAAAGAAATGCTGTTACCATTCTGCATTATATAAATACAAGATTATTACTAAAAAAGCCCAATATGTGGATAGCAGCATAACAGCATCAAGAAAGAGGATATCAATTATCCCAAGCAATAATTTCTGCTGTAAGTCTAGCCAAACTAATATGGCAGCTGCTATTTGTTACCACCACCCCCTCCCCACCCCAATGTTCAAAGAACATGGCTGAATACTTCTCAAAGTTTTTAATACCTCCTCCCCTGGAGCCTCATTTCAACTATTCCCCTTGAGCAGTTATTTGGCCCATACTGGTGAACAGAATGCAGTTGGCGATGCCAACCAGTATTTCAATTAGCAGCTCCATTTAAATAAGAGCTCAGTGAATGCCTTGCCTTGAGTGAACCTCATCTAATAGTCTGCAGTGCAATACTGTTTCTGGAATGGAAGTTATTATTCTTCCAAACAAGACCATTAACTATTAACTTGTAACCAGGGAAACACACAGTTTATGCAATAAGGAAAAAAGAAAGAAAGAAAATAAGAGACAAACAGAGACAAGTGCTGGGAAATTAAATTATTATGTGGAAAATTTCCTCTCAGATCCAGACAGCCTGAGGTGGGCCTGATGCCAACAGAAGAAAAGGTAACAGAATGGACTTTTAAAGTTGCTCAAATGAGGAACTGGATCAACGATTTGGGCAAATGCTCCCTAGGACGTATACAGTGCAGTGTGAAATCTGTGCCTGCAACATTCTGCTCTCTCAAACTCACATGTGAAGGACACCCTAACACATTCTGTATGCCAGGCTCCAGATCTTCTGGTATTGATCTGAAACACCAGTTTTTGCTTTTTACTAGAGGGTAAATAAACGTTTTCAAGACTGATCCAATGATGCAACTTCTTCCTAGTTCTACCTTTACAGCCATATAATGAATACAAACACTGCTAGTTGCTATTTCCAGACTGATCTCTTAAGTGAAGCTAATTACGGTGCTTGTCTTACTGCCCTCAATTTGGCACTGTAGGTCAAGACTGAGTAATTGACTTTGGTTCTCCTGCAAGGAATTACTTGCAAGCTTTTTCCTTTGCAGATATGCAATATACACAAGGCTTCCCTGTGGCAGAGGTGACCCTTTATAGTCACCAGTGAAAACAGAACAGGGAATTAAAGAGAAATACCCTTACAAGCAGTTTATTTAAATGTTTCTGACTGAAGTCCAGCCAGCTTACTGGACATGTAAATTGGGAGCTGCTTTGGGTCTGAAAACTTTTGAGCTAGGAGCTAGGCTCATCTCCTTACAGGCATTTCAGATCTTGACACAGCAAATATTTGGGGCTCTGCCTGCACCGACCCTCCCCACACCAGCTGCATGCTAGAGGATACATTCTGAGGCACTGTGCACCAGCAGCAACAGTGCAATGAGGCAACTCCATATCATGACTACGACAATAACAGACTCCAGCCAGTATAATTAGTGACAAGACATTAATTTAGGATCTGGATAACCCAAGTTCCAACCCCTGCTCCATAAGAGATATCTGGGCTCTTTGGATGGCATGTCCTTAACTCTAAAGGGCTAAAGGCAAATGGTGAAGTTCAGCTATGTCTCTGAGCCTGTAATCTATCAGCTTAAAATTAGGTTATCTGAATGTTTGAGTTTCTCTGTCTTGAGTGTCCCTGACAATAAACCAGGTGTAACAGCATTATTAGCATTACTCTACTGTGAGAAGAAATACAGAGGACAACATTCCCAGGCACTGGGATGGAAAGAGTCACACAAGCACCTAAGACAGTAAATCAGCCCTGACAGTCACATACACCACTTCTGTCGTATCTCTGGAGGCAGTGTTCATTGGAAAGGGCATGGGTGGACAAACATGAACCTGAGGAGCTGTGTTGCCTTTAATGAAGTTTCAAATCCAAATATATTAACACCACGACTATCTTCCTAATTTAAAGAACACAAATTAACAACATTTTGAGGGAGAGATGATACCAGAGCAAGACATTCTTAGTTCAGTACCAGGGCTCACAATTGCCGTCAGTCCTTAATGTGCATACTTACTGCATGGGTAGTGCAATATAGACACAAGTATTGACCAGTTCCAGATCACAGATGGGAACTGATAGTTGTCTACATACAAATCATGTCAGATTAAGTCAAGATTTGATTTTATATCAGTTTAGCCCAACCAGTTTAACAAGGTGCATGGATCTTTTTGCAGATTAAACTCAAAGTATCAGTCTAGTTCAGGGGAGCAAGGTGCAGACCCCTACTAACAGAGTGGTTCCAGTTTCAAACAAATGTCATTCCATCAAAAGTACCCAGGCTACGACGTGAACTTTTTTTAAACAGGCTCCAGTTAAACTAGTGCAGTGTCCACACCTGAACAAAGGGATGCTGGAAGCAGGCACTCAAATCAAACAGGTGCAACTACTTCTTTGAGTATTTAGTCTTCTTTTTTATTCCTTCAGCACTTTTCAAGATTAACTACGAAAGCTACAGTACCTGTAGAAATTTAAGTTCTCATAGTTTTACAATTTTAGGGAGACCAATTATGAGATATCAATAAAACTCTTCTGGAGTTTCAGGCTGCTTTATAACAGTTTTAACTTCCAATGCTGCTCGGCAAGGCCTGAAGACATTTTTTTTCCTTTATTAATGAACACACATGATATGTAAAGGTGAGCCATGTAAAGGTATATAATGAGGAAATTTTCAAGACAACCTAAGTTGAGACTTTCACCCTTGCTAACAAAACTAGCTTGAATGAGTAACTGGTGTGTTCTTAAGCTCATTTGATTTTTCAGTGAGACAAATCAATGTCCCATTAAATATCCAATTTACCCAGAGTAACATGCACAATGACTGTAATAACTGGGGAGTCTGGATTACATGGTTTCATTTGGGGGGGGAAGAAATAATAATAACAATAACAATAACAATAACAATAACAATAATAATAATAATAATAATAATGAAAATAATCAATAGCACCTTCCTCCGTGAGGAAGACAGCCTTTGTCACTGGAGTGTCGCTTTGTGCTAACATCACTCCATAGGCAAATAACCACAATTTCTGTCATTCTTTACATTCCCTCTTGAATCGTGCAATGTTGATTTCATTACATTTTGCACCTGCACTACGCTGATGCAAATTCAAAGCAACTCTACCACCTTTAGTACTCATTACTGCATTTTAGCAAAACTTCTCAAAACAATCCCAGATCTGAAACAAACAAACAAAAACAAAACCAAAACAAAAAGTTAAAAGGAGAGCTAGAAAAGACCAATAACAACTCAATGTTCATATAAGAAACCTAAGGCACTTTCTGAGCAAAACGAAGAAATTAATTTGCTGTGCAAAGTTTAAAACTGCCCTATTGGTGTTTCTTTACATAGAGCATCTTATTGTACAAAGGTTTAATAGCAATTACATGTTTCATTGCATCTGCCAGAAAAAAAGACCTCAGTGCTCATACCAAACCCTTCCAAAATGGAAATTACAGCAACTACCTGGAGAGTAACAGTTGCTGAATAAAAGAAAACAAGGAAAATAAATCCTGCAGCCTCCCTCATTGCTGATTCTCTCCCTGAACACAGAACTGGTAGGAAACCAAAGATTC